AGAAAATTAGGATAATGGTCAAGTCCTTGCTAGAATAGTCTATGGGGCTGGAACAATCTCAGCCAGCATCCTTGAAGCTGTTCTGGATGTAGAACTCTGAAGAAACTATAACAGAGGTACTCTGATAGGCTGGATCACCTGGGCCACCTGTTTTCATTGGTGGCTAGTCCCCTTGCTCTGAAAATACATAAACTTTCAAAGGTAACATATATATTCACATTAACACAAGTATGGACAAGATGATTTTTTTTATGTTTGAGCAGGTAAAATATACATCACCTGTCCTGTAGTTTTTCTAGTTTTATTTCTTTATGTGTAGCCAGGATTTTCAGGAGGTCTTCCCTGATCCTTTTTAACCTTGAATGAATCTACAGACTTTCATTCCTATGCAAACAAAAGTATAACCTCTTATCCAAAGTAACATTTTTTTTTACTTCTTTTTTAAAGTTAAGATATCCCTGAAGAATCTAAGTTGGTTTAATTTAGCAGTCCCTGTTACAATCCCATGTCTCCCAGCAGCTGTATTTTGCTCATTAGCAGTCAAAAAATTCAAAGTAAACAAAACAACATATAGAATCCATACTCCCTGTGTATTTCCCATCTTTATATGGCTTTTCCCCCTATATTTCTTTACTCTTTCTTTAAAGACTTTACTATTATTTTTAAACTATTTTTCTATGACTGTCTATATCCTTTTTCTTTTTTCTTAAGCATATGCACATTATTAAACACACTATAACCTGTTTAGAAGATTTTTCTGTCTGAACCTGCTTTACTGCATATTTGCAACCTTTTTTGTCTGCACAAGCAAAATCTTAAACCACAACACAGCTTAGTTCATGGCATGTTGGCAGCTCAAGCCCACAGGCAATGGCTGGGAGATGTTTCTCTGTATTGTGGCCTGCATGAGAAACTGTGGAACTAGAGAGCCATATTTAGCCCTGTTTTTATGTGTTTGGAACCTTTTAAAAAAAGTTTTCTCAGGTCTTATGTGGAAATAGATGCCCCACATTGGGCACCATATGTAAATAGATTTTTATTTTTGGGCCACCAGCTCACAAAGAATGACACTGAGACTTATTAATTCTGAAGACTTGGCCAATAGCTTGGGCTTGTTTCTAACTAACTCTTACAACTTAAATTAACTCATATCTTGTAATCTGCATTCTTTCATATGCCTTCATTACCTTTATTTTGTAATGCCATGCTGCTTGCTTTGCATTCCTGGCATCTCTTTGTAACTCAGACATTCTTCTGCCCAGCATCCTCTGTGCCTGGAAATCCTGCCTAGCTATTGGCTGTTCAGCTTTTTACTTAACCAATCACAGTGGCATACCTTCCCACAGTGTAAAGGAATATTCCACAACATGTACCTTTAGGTCAAATCATATAGCCTGAAGAAATTAGGCCATGGCTCCCTGTAATCCTCTTGGGACTGGGAGTTAAGAAATTGTGTTGTAGCATAAAAGCAGCCCCTGAATTATAATCTAACCAGTATCTGGCTCTTCCATGTTATTTGTCACTTATGCTATGTTGAACTGAATCATGTGATGTGAAACTTCTATCACCACTAAAAGGTTGTAAAAAGTCAGACCTTTCCATCATTCTGGGGATTAGTCTGGAGACCCCTCAGAGAATATGGTCAGGGAGGCTCTATGAAGGCTGCTTTCTGAAGGGATTCCTCTGTAATCCAATCCTTTCCATGCTCTCTCTCTCTTCACCTCTCCTCCTTCCTTCTCTTTCTCCCTCCCTCCTTCTCCCTCCTTTTTCATTTTTACTCATAGTGAAGCTCCTCTTCAGGCTTTAAAGGAAAGCCTCTCTTTCCCTCTAAGGCACCCAGCATGGTTAGATGTCCATATATTACATATATTATATTGTTTCTGTCTAATGCTGTTCTTCTCACCTCAAGGCCCCACCATGGCTATGAGGACCTTTCCCCTAATAAACTTCATCTTCTGAAGGGAATTATGTGTGTAAACTTCCTTTCCATGCCAACCACTGCTTTTTATCCCTTTGTTATGTTTAATACCAAATACCCTTGAGGTGATATTTGTGTTTCAGAGTATCTAGCACCAGACATTTCATGAAGAACATTAAAAGCTTGGGCTCCAAGCTAAACAAAACAGGGTTTGGTTAATAACTACAAACTTAGTCAAGTTATCTGTATCTCCAATTTTGTATCAATGATACATAACTTGCAGGATTAGTAAGAGAATTAAAGTAATGAATGCAAAGTACCTAGTTTATATGCTGATATAAAAATGCCATTGATATTTTTCATATTTAACACTATATTAGCAACAATATTTAGCATTTTCAAACATCCCTTTTTAAAAAGAGTCTGCTTATTTCCATTTTGAACCCCAGTGCCAATAAGAAGGTGCAAAAAGATGACATTTCTGGTTTATGTGAAAATCATTGGCATTTGCATGCTTAGAATTTCTTACTTCTTTTATTAATTTAATCAAGGTGCATTTTTTTCTCCAAGTGTTTGCCTGGCACTTATTTACAAAGGTTTAATTTTTCTTGTCAACTATCATACATTCAATGCCTTGAACACATCTGCAGCTCTTTTAAGAAAATCATTGCATGCATGGTGTAGTTTCAGAGGAAACACTAGAAATTATACGTAAATGCAAATGGAAAACTTAAATGTCTCTGTTTTCATCACATTTACTATTCTATTAATTTATCTGTCTATATTTACACTTATACCCAATCTATCATAAGTAATCTATTTACATCATAAGTAAACAGCCAAATCAATAAAATGCCCTTTTTTAAAGACAGGGTCTTGCTATGTATCCCTGGCTGGTCTCCAACTCACAATGTAGACCAAGCTCACTTTGAACTCATGAAGATCTACTTGTCTCTGTCTCCCAAGTGCTTGTGCCACCATGTTCAGCTATAAAATCTCTTTCAAATGATGAATTTGCCTCTGGCAAACAACTTTGTGGTATATTATCTTACAGATTTAGATGTTACTTAACAGATCTTATTACATACAGTAATAAATAAATTTTACTAAAGTTGATAAGATAAATTTTGTATTGACAGTGTAATAGTCAAATCTAAAATAAGTTCAGTTGACTACAACAGAGTATTTCATTTTTCTTTTGTTCATTCAGCAGACATGTATTAAACAAATATTGTACACTTATTCTAGACATTAAGAAAGAAATGGTTGCTCTCAAGGTGGTACTGTAATTTCTTCTCTTAATACAATTCAGTGCAAAGAAAATGAAAACCAGAATAGTTAAGTCAATTCATCTAAATCACTAAACCAGAAAAAGAATTAAAAGAACTGAACTTTGAGGCTGAATATCCCAGAGACCTAGGGTAGAACAAAAACATGACTGGCAAAAAAAGTCAATGAAATGATGCCTAATGACATTCTTCTGCTATACTGGTAAACCAGAGTTTAGCATAGTAGTCATCAGAGAGGCTTCACTCAGTAAATGATAGGAGTAAATGCAGAGACCCACAACCAAATATTAGGCAGACTTCTTAAGGAATCCCACCAAAGAGAGGAAGGAAGGATTGTAGGAGCCAGAGGTACTGTGGGATAATGCCCTTGTACACGGGTTTAATGAAATACTGATTGGCCAGTAGCCAGGCAGGAAGTATAGGCAGAGCAAGCAGATAAGGAGAATTCTGGGAAGAAGAAGGGCTGAGTCAGGAGTCACAGCCAGACACAGAGGAAGCAAGATGACAAGGCAGAACTGAGAAAAGGTACCAAGACACGTGCCTAAACATAGATAAGAATTATGGGTTAATTTAACTGTAAGAGCTAGTCAGTAATAAGCCTGAGCTAGTGGCCAAGCAGTTATAATTAATATAAGCCTCTGTGTGCTTGCTTGGGGGACATGAGTGGGAGACATTTGTCCTGACCGCCAGCCAGCCGGGACACAGGAAAACTTCCAACTACACAGAGGGGGTCAAGGACACCATAAGAAAATGACCCACAGAATCACCTAACCAGGGCTCATAGGGGCTCACAGAGACTGGAGTGAGAATCAGGAAACCTATATGGGTCTAACCTAGGTCTTCTCCATATGTGTTATGGTTGTGTAGCTTGGTGTTCTTGTGGGACTCTTAAAGACAGTGGGAGTGGGAACTGTCTCTGACTCTTTTGCCTGCTTTTGGAACCCTTTTCCTCCTACTTGGTTGCCTCGTCCAGTATTAATATGAGGGTATGTGCCTAATCTTATTATAACTTGATATGCCATGTTTACTTGATACCCCTGGGAGGTCTGCCTTTTTCTAAATGGAAATAGAGAAGGAGTGGATCTGGGAGAGAGGGGAGGTGGTAGGGGGGAGGGACTGGGAGGAAAGGAGGGAGGGGAACCTGCAGTCTGGATGTAATATATGAGAGAAGAATAAATAAGCAAGTAGAAAAAGGGGTAAAAGAAGATTCCCAAGAGCAGCAAAATAATATTTATTTAATAATACAAAATAGTATCCCTAATTGGTATGAGAACAGATTTCTCAGCAGAATCATTACAGGTAGGAGAGAGTAGCATGAGGTGTTTATAGTAATGAAGAAGCAATTGTGCTAACCAGTATTATATCCCCCCAAATATTTTATGTAGATATGACATTTCCAGATAAAATCTTAAGAAATATATCTCCACCAGAACTGTCCTACAGGAAATGTTTGGCCAGGCATGCCTATAATTCACTCTTTGGGAAGCTGAAGTGGAAGTGTCATATATTTGAGGCCAGCTGAAGCTACATACATACTTATTTCCAGGCCAGTTGAGATTACAGAGTGAGACTCTGCCTCAAAAAGGGCAGGGGGATAACAGAAGGAAGAAAGAAAGGGTCGGTTAATGTGGTTTGAATAAAAACAGTCCCTGTAGGTCCATAAAGAATGGCACTATTAGGAGTTGTGGCCTTGTTGGAGTAGGTGTGGCCTTGTTGGAGCAAATGTGTCACTGGGGTGGGCTTTGAGGTCTCATATGTTCAAGTCAGGCCCACTGTGTCATTGTGTCTTTCAGCTGCCTGCTGATCTAGATGAAGAAATCTCAGCTCCTTTTCTAGCAGCTTGCCTGCCTGCAGGCCACCATGCTTCACACCATGATGATAATGGACTAAACCTCTGAACTGTAAGCCAGTCCCAATTAAATGTTTTTCTTTATAAGAGTTGTCAAGGGTCATGGTGTCTCTTCACAGTAATAAAACCCTAACTAAGATAATTATAGTTTTTCAAACTAAAATAAAGAAATTTGAAATGCTATAAAATTAATTGGTTTAGAGTATCTATACATGTAAATTTTGAATCTCTAATATTGTCAATATGTCATGTAAATAATTTATATCTTTAGTATAGACCTGTTTTAAGATAAAATTAAAATGGCTATTTTAATGCATTAGGTAAAATGTAGGAAGATGTCGTGTAAAATCAAACATCTATATTTCAAAATAAGGATACACACAGACTGAAAGTGAGGGAATAGAATAAATACTTCATGCAAATGGAATGGAAAAGAAAGAAGTAATTTAATTAGTTGGGTTTTCTCATACATGTAGCAAAATATCTAACAAAATCAACTTAAGGGAGAAAGGATTTATTTGGGCCTACAGTTTCAAGGGACTGTACATCATAGGAAGGAAGGCAATAGTGGCTGAGGCAGCTCAGTCCTAGTAGCAGGAGCATGAAATAGCAGCTCATCACTTTTTGGCAGATCAGGAGAAAGACAGGATGGAATTGGAAAGGGCTAACACTCTCTGAACCCACCCCAGTAGCCTATGTCTGCTAGCTATGTTTCATGGTTTCTACAACTTCTCCAAATGGTGCCACCAGCTGGAACTTAAGTGTTTAAACAGAAGAACCTGTGGTAGACATTTTACATTCAAACTGTAACAATAACCATATATTAAGTGGGCTTTTATTCAAAAACATTAAAAATGACACACAAAATATACATTTTAAGTTAATAAACCTGAAGGGGAGAATTAGACTCAATGCAATAATACTATATGACTTTACCTCTCCATTTTCAGTAATATATATATCATTAAGACCTAATAGATGCCCACAGAACATTCTATCCAAAAGCTGCTAAATGTACTCTTTTTTCATCAATGCATGGAACATTTTTCAGGATAGATAATAGAATAAGTCACAAAACTAGTTTCAATTATTTTTTAATGATCAACTCAATTATTTTTTTCTAACTACAATACAATAAAATTGGTAATCATATCAAGACAACCTTTGAAAATTATACAGTTACATGGATATTAAATAACTTATTCTTGAACCAATGGACCAAGGAAGAAATTAAGAAGAAATAAATAAATGGTAGAGCACATAACCCCATTGGATGCTACAAAAGAGGTATTTAAAAAGAAGTTTATATAAATTAACACATACATCAAAAAAAGCACAAAGATCCCAGAGAATCTAACTGAATTATGACAAGACTCTGAAATATAACTATGAAACTCTGAACTTAAAAATAATAGCCTCCCTGGTATGGTGGTACTGGCCTGTAATTCCAGAATTTGGGAAGTAAAAAGAGAATAATCACAAAGTCAAGACCACTGTGGGCTACATAGCAAGTTCAAGGCAAGCCTAAGATACATAGTCAAACCCTTCCTCTAAAAAGTGAAGGCTAGGGGTAAAGCTTCTGTAGGAGAAAAATTGTCTAGCATGTGTAAAACCTTATAAATTATCATCACAAAAATGTGATCTACTAATTTATCTGTCAGAGGAAGATTTCAAAACAACAAAGCATTTAAATTGTGACATAGTTACTATTGGCTTTTAGTAAGATTTATAGTGACATTCAAGGTCAAAAGGAAACAGTGGAAAGAATATAGAAAGAAAGAGAACAAAAATATATACAAGAGTATAACTGAGACACTGCTTCCTAAAAGAATTCATGTACATAAAAGTGAGCCAGTTGCTTTGCATAAAGGTGGCATGAAAGGGCCTTTAGATTGTCTCATAAATATTTGAGGTTCCCTCACTCATCACAAGTCCAGATGATTTCCAGAAATGTTACAGGAATGTCTCTGAGGTGTATTCTCTATAGGCTTCCCACTAATGGATGCTTCAGGATTTGTTTCCCTGCTTCATTTGGCAAAGCATTTCATGTCTGGAACCATGGCTCAGATGGACTTAGGCACCACTTATGCCAGTGGTAGATCTTTGGGTATGTATATGGTACTGATTCTATAGGTATTTAGAATGTAAGAGTAATGAGGTCATGATTTTCTGCTAAAGTTTTAGAACAAATCTTGGGATCCCAGGTAGAAGTTAGCCATAGGGTCAGGGCTCCTGCAGAGAGTTCTAAATTGGCAGATGGATGGAGAAGTCAGGAGTATGGGGCTTTAATAAGAACTCCAGATATGTATAGCTGCTAACAGTGTGCAATGTCTACCAGGGAAAGTTGCATGCAGAATGCAAAGTCAATCTGAAAGAATAGCCATGTGATCTATGACCAGCCATAAAAACATCCATAGAGGTAGGGTTGCCCAAGTTCTTGGGTCCCACCCATTGCTGCAAATATGTATAGGGTGCTGGACTTAAGAGCTTTAAAACTTAGTGTGTTCTCTCTTGGGCATATACCCAAGAAATGCTCAACCACACCATAAGAGCACTTGTTCAGTTATGTTCATATCAGCATTGTTTGTAATAGCCAGAACATGGAAACAACCCAGATGCCCTTCAACTGAAGAATGGATAAACAAAATGTGGTACATATACACAATGAAATACTACTCAGCAGAGAAAAACAATGGCATCATGAGGTTTGCAGACAAATGGATGGATCTAGAAAAAATCATCCTGAGTGAGGTAACCCAGACTCAGAAAGACAAACATGGTATGTACTCACTCATAGCAGGATACTAGACATGAAACAAGGATGACTTGTCTGCTACTCACATCACCAGGGAGGCTACCTGGAAAACAGGACCCCAAGAAAGACACAGGGATCACCCAATGACAGAGAAATGGAATGAGATCTACATGAACAGCCTGGACATGAGTGGGGGTAATGAAAGGCGAGGGTTGAGGGAAAGAGAGCTTGGGGGAGCGGGAGATCCCAGCTGGATCAACAACAGAGAGGGAGAACAAGGAATAGGAGACCATGGTAAATGAAGACCACATGAGAATAGGAAGAAGCAAAGTGCTAGAGAGGCCCACAGAAATCCACAAAGATACCCACACAACAGACTGCTGGCAGTGGTCGAGAGACAGCCCGAACTGACCTACTCTGGTGATGGGATGGCCAAACACCCTAATTGTTGTGCTAGAAACCTCATCCAACTACTGAGGGATCTGGATGCAGAGATCCAAGACTAGGCCCCGGGTGGATCTCTGGGAGTCCAATTAGCGAGAATGAGGAGGGTTTATATGAGCGAGAATTGTTGAGACCAAGGTTGGATAAAGCACAGGGACAAATAGCCAAATGAATGGAAACACATGAACTATGAACCAATGGCTGAGGGGTCCCCACTGGATCAGGCCCTCTGAATGGATGAGACAGTTGATTGGCTTGATCTGTTTGGGAGGCATCCAGGCAGTGGGACCAGATCTTGTGCTCATTGCATGAGTTGGCTGTTTGAAACCTGGGGCCTATGCAGGATTGTTTGGCTCGGCCTGGGAGGAGGGGACTAGACCTACCTGGACTGAGTCTACCAGGTTGACCTCAGTCTGTGGGGAAGGCTTTGCCCTGGAGGAGATGGGAATGGGGGGGGGGGGTTGGGGGGAAGGTGAGGGGGACGGGAGGGGGGGAGAACAAGGGAATCCGTGGCTGATATGTAGAACTGAATTGTATTGCAAAATAAATTAAAAAAAATAGATTAAAAAAAAAAACTTAGTGTGTTCTCGCTGAGTTTTGGTTTTCCTTTGTATTTGCCTATTTCTCCCCTCTTCAGTGGGAATATATACCCTGTATCTGTCCTATCATCATGTACTTGAAATAAATAACTTGATTTTACAGGCTCATACATGGAAGGAGTTTGCCTTGAGACCTTCAGTTCTGAACTTTTTAGTTAATGTTAGAATTCATTTTGGACTACTGGGAATAAAATGGTTGTATTTTACATTGTGACCAGACTATAAACCTTAGAGGGCAAGAGAATAATGATCCAATATGGATTGAGTGTGTCCTCGGGGATTCTCATGTTGAAACTTAATCCTCATTCTGCAGTATCAAAACAATGGTATTTGGAGATGGAGCCTTTGGGAAATGATCAGGATCAGAAAATGCAACCAGAGTGGAACCTCCATGTTTGAATACTGGTGGTTTTATGAGAAGAGGAAGAAAAACCAGGACACATACATATTCATTCCCTATTTATTGCCATGTGATGTTCTTCACTGGCTTAGGACTTACCAATATGAATGTCCTTAACTCTGGACCAAAACTATAAACATCTCTTCATAAGTTACCTAGTCTCAAATATTTTGTTATAGTAATATAAATGGGCTAATCCAAGTATAATAAAAGACTGTCTTTTTATCTTTATTGCTTTGAAGCTATTTTACTTCAGGAACCAATGTTCTTGGCATTTAGGAAATAACAAAGACAGAAGTCATGAGCTGGGAACTATGTATTAAAAAGATGTTTCCTAAAGAGAAACGGAGGAGGAGTGGATTAAAGGGTGGCAATAGAGGGGGATGGGAGAAACTGGGAGGAGAGGAGGGAGGGGAAACTGTGGCCAGAAAGAAAGAAAGAAAGAAAGAAAGAAAGAAAGAAAGAAAGAAAGAAAGAAAGAAAGAAAGAAAGAAAGAAAGTAAGTTTTTAAAGGTGATAGATGATAGGAAAGGTATATAGATACAGATATTAATAACATTGGCTAAGTATTTGATGCCATTAAGGAAATATTGTTTGGTGGAATAATGGTATTTCAGTTATGTAGTGTGAATTTTAATTGGTCTTAATAATAAAAACTTGGAGTCAGATATAGGGGTAAATGCTGAAAGATCCGAGAAGCAGAACAACCACAGTCACCTCTTACCGCTACAACTCCTCAGCCTGAAAAAGGCCGAGCTCCTGTCTCCCTCTGCCTTATATTCCTCTCTCTGCCTAGTCATATAACTTTCCGTTTCCTCCTCCCTAGTGCTGGGATTAAAGGCATGTGCCTCCCAAGTACTGGGATCAAAGGCATGAGATCCCAAGTGCTGGGATTAAAGGTG